CCACTTTATTGGATCATCGAAGAGGGTTATTTCCGTATTTGTGACAATGAACGTCGATGACATACAGCCATCCAGGTAATGAAGTAAGTAATCTCTTTAAGAAAATACTACGTCACCATGATGTTCAGGACATCTCTGCACTTATGGCCTGTTACTGCTAGAAACAATTGACTGACAGATTCCAGCAAAACTCATTTCCCGGATGATGAGCGTTATGAATAAGCAAAATAGGACGATTATTTCTAAACTAAAAGGACAAAAAAAACGTGGTCCTAATGCGATATGTCTCGCATTACTTGTCGAAAAAACGAAAGAACAATGTGGTGAAACAAATGCCAGAGTCAACATCATGCTGATCTCCAAGTGAAAGAGGTGTCGTTGAACGTAGCCCTTTCTCCAAAAATTGCTCTGGACCGGGAAGGAATCGAACCAATTCTCTCCACGCCAGGGAGCAATGTCTTACCCCACTACACCACCGGTCTTCGTGCTCCATGTTCAGCGTGGCAGTACATCTGCTGTGTATCTGCCTTTCAGGACTAAACACAACTTTCTTCTTTTTTTCCTTGTTTTGGCTTCTTGGCCAGTTTTCGCAGGTTTTCCGCGACAATAGGTTCCATCGTAGCAGTTACAGGAAGGATGAGCGATCTGCTGATAGGGAAAAGAATAAAATTCTTGTGGAAGTCATCAACTTCTTTTTACATAATTTTGCCTCTCCTGCTCGAATCTATTTCAAGAAAAGCAACCTTAAATACATGCGTGACAGAGATTGCGATCCCGAGATATTTCAAACCAACAGGCTGCGAACTGGTCAATCGGCGGAAATTTTTATCACCTTCACCCTGAAATTACAAGCTCTTTGGCATTAAAATTGATGTAAATCTGAAATGTGCGAAAACTTGGTCCGTCCAACAAATTACCTCTCGATAATCCGAACGTTCTATGTAGATGTCACGATCAACGGCAACAAAATGATGACCACCAGAGTCCGGATTTAGTGGAAAATCTGGTACACCGATTGAGTGTCCAAAACCTAATTCGTCGAAATTTTCGATCGTTACTTTCAACGGATCCAACACTGCCATTGTTCTAAAATTCGAAGTGACTCATAGAGCCTGTACTCTCTGGAACTAGCATCAACGAGATCGATTAAATATTTAAAAACGTCTGAGACCAAAACTACTTTAAAATAGTAATTCTTAAAAACTAATACAATCAAATGAGTGGAAATCAAAGTATGCAGTTTTCAAAAAAAAAGTATAATTTGATTAAAATCAAAGTATAATTTTATATATTAAATGTAGCCTAATACAACTCTTGTGGCTGAAGCTATAAATCCAAAAATATATCCCCATTCAAACGGAATTCCCCAACGCATTTCAAATAGCATAAATGCTCAAATTTTCCAGTAATTCTTCTTATGAAGATAAATAAAGGCATTCGCTCAGTCCACACAGGAACCCGCTACTAGTGATATTACCGGGATATCCATACACATCCAGGACAGCTACTTCAGACCCTTCAATCTGCACTAACTCTACGGA